TGAAGCGGAGCCTCTGTCGGAGGAAACTCGGAGGAGTGAGGGGCGGCGCGCTGCCGCCCCTCGACGCAGGGAACGCAGGTAGGGGCAGGCCCCGGAGGTAGGGGAGGGAGGGACCGGGGGAGACCAGAGACAAGGACACGGGAGGCCATGCCTCGGAGACGAGGTAGGGAGGGGTGACCAAGGCGGTGGTGCCAGAGGAGAGTCTGGTGGGACAGGAGACGACACGAGCAGGGAGCAGACTCAGGACCAGACCTGGACGCTGCAGCAAACACCTGACCCGACGCAGCTACCTGACCAGACTCAGCAACCGGAGGAGACTCAGTAGTCAGTGTGTACAGGCTCGACCCCGGCTGACGGGTAAACGTGGCCAAGTGTCGGCCCGTCCGAGCACACGTACAGTGGGTCACCCGCTGACTCGCAGGAGTGAACTGGTCAACTCCCCCATCCTGTAGATCAGCACCACTCACCAAGTTCGTAGAGAACGAGGGGAGGTAGAGACCTGACAGGGTGCCAGAGGGGGCTACCGGACACGGCAAGACAGTGGAGAAGTGGGCAAGGACAGGACCCCCAGAGGGGTCCGCCAGGGAGACCGCAACTGGCCGACTAAGCGGCGTAAGCGTGGTGCGGTCTCGAAAGAAGGAGCGGGAAGCACCCGAGTCAAGGGTGAAGGTGTGTAAGGCCTGAGCCGACGTGGTACATGAGAGAGCAGACTCACCAGCACCTGGGGCAGCAGACCCACTAGCACCTAGAGCAGCTGCCTCACCAGCACCTAGAGCAGCAGCCTCAATGCCCGGGTCAGGCGGAACACACAGGTAACAGTCACCCTCATCACTAGTAGGCAATGCATACATGGCAGTGAGGATAGCATCATAGTCAAGAGTATAGATATCTACCCGCAGCCTAAGCAGCTCCACCCAGTCGGGGAGCTCAGCCGCGTCGCCAAACTTCGTACGCCAGGCGTCGCTCAGACGGGCGAAGCAGCGGGACTCTGCGTGACCAAACGTCCCGCAAGGCTGACCAGTCCGAGCACCAGTGCGAATGACGTACGGACAGCGAGCAGTACCCCGTGACCCGCCACGCTGAGCGTACCACTCACGAAGCTGCTGGGGCGAAAGTACCGCGCACGGACGACGCTGCAGCTGCACCTGGCCACTACAAGCAGCTGCCGAACTACTCACTCCAGGACGACTCCCACTACGGCCACCCCGACAACCCCAAGTAGCGTACCACTCACGAAGCTGCTGGGGCGTGAGGGACTCACGCGGACGTCGCTGGAGCTGCATCCGGCCACCGCTAGGAGCAGCAGGAGCAGTGGTAGCTGCAGTAGCAATAGCAGTAGTCGCAGCGAGGCCACCCCTATAACCCCAACTAGCGTACCACTCACGAAGCTGTTGGGGGGTGAGGGACTCACGCGGACGGCGCTGGAGCTGCATCTGGCCACGCCAGGAGCAGCAGTAGCAGTAGAAAGAGCAGTAGCAGCAAGAGCAGCAGTAACAGCAGTACGGGCAGGGCAGTGCTCACCAGTGGCGAGAAGGGCAGGCGTACGACGGCGGCAACGGCGAGGCCGCTACAACTGTAGGGCGAGGGCTCCGCGGCAGCTGCAGGGGCAGCTCCTCCAGTGGCGGCAGTTGTAGGGGCAGCTGCTCCAGGGGCGGCTGCTGCAGGGGCGGTTGCTCCAGGGGCGGCTGCTGCAGGGGCGGCTGCTCCAGGGGCGGCTGCTCCAGGGGCGGCTGCTGCAGGGGCGGCTGCTCCAGGGGCGGCTGCTGCAGGGGTGGCTGCTCCAGGGGCGGCTGCTGCAGTGGGGGCTGCTCCAGGGGCGGCTGCTGCAGGGGCGGCTGCTCCAGGGGCGGCTGCTGCAGGGGTGGCTGCTCCAGGGGCGGCTGCTGCAGTGGCGGCTGCTCCAGGGGCGGCTGCTGCAGGGGCGGCTGCTCCAGGGGCGGCTGCTGCAGGGGTGGCTGCTCCAGGGGCGGCTGCTGCAGGGGCGGCTGCTCCAGGGGCGGCTGCTGCAGGGGCGGCTGTTCCAGGGGCGGCTACTGCAGGGGTGGCTGCTCCAGGGGCGGCTGCTGCAGTGGCGGCTGCTCCAGGGGCGGCTGCTTTAGGGGCTGCTGCTCCAGGGGCGGCTGCTGCAGGGGAGACTTCTCCAGGGGCGGCTGCTGCAGTGGTGGCTGCTCCAGGGGCGGCTGCTGCAGGGGCGGCTGCTCCAGGGGCGGCTGCTGCAGTGGCGGCTGCTCCAGGGGCGGCTGCTGCAGTGGCGGCTGCTCCAGGGGCGGCTGCTGCTGTGGTGGCTGCTCCAGGGGCGGCTGCTGCAGGGGCGGCTGCTCCAGGGGCGCGGGTTAGGGCAGGGCGCCGCGGCGGGCAGGGGTGACGCCACGCGGGTCCCGCACGGGCGTCGCAACGCATAGGAGCCGCACCTCGCGGATCCCGCAAGGGCGACGCGACGAGGCCGTGACTGGCGACGGGGCGGGGCCGCGACTGGCGACGGGGCGGGGCCGCTAAGGGGCCGCGAAGGGAGCCGCGAGGGGGGCCGCGAGGGGGCCGTGAAGTGGCCGTGAAGGGGCTGCGAAGGGGTCGTGAAGGGGCCGCGAAGGGGCAGCAAAGGGGCCGCGAGGGGGCCGCGAAGGTGCCGCGAAGGGGCCGTGAAGGGGCCGCGAAGGGGCCGTGAAGGGGCCGCGAAGGGGCCGCGAAGTGCCGCGAAGGGGCCGTGAATGGGCCGCGAAGGGGCCGCGAAGGGAGGCCGCGAAGGGGCCACGAGGGGCCTGAAGGGGCCGCGAAGGGCCGTGAGAGGGGCCGTGAGAGGCCGTGAGAGGGGCCGCTACGGGGCCGTAGGGGAGCGCGACGGGCCACTAAGGGCAGGGGACGCTACGGGAGGGTAGGCACACGGGGCGCGACTCGGGCAGGGGCGAAGCGCGCTCCGGGCAGGAAAAAAAAATCGATATTCGGTGGGCCCTAGGAAACGTTCCCACTAGGGAACCTGCTCTATACCATGTGAAAGAACGAGGAATGAATGAACTAGCAAGCAGGTGGGTACAAGTAGGAAAACCTAAAAGTGTTGTACCCCATATTGTCTACCCCACTACAGCCTACACAGACTATAGCATATGAGTTTGACAAGTCCCTGTCCCTGTCAAACTGGCCGACCCCTCCGGGGGCCCGATAGTCGCGCGTGGCGCCACTGTTCTCCCTTGTCCGGCGGCCCCTTTGGGCCTCCTCACAGGTCTCCACCTCCCCTCGTTCGCTAAGAACTTGGTGGCTACCTCTGTCCTCCAGGACCAGTGGGTCACTGTCACTCATCCTGGAGGCGAGCTAGTGGCGATCTGTACGGATTCGCGCACTGGTGAGCACCTCACCATGTTCACTCGGAGGCCTGGGTCTGGCCTATGCACACTGACCACTGAGTCTGCACTGGTAGCTGAGTCAGGTCAGGTAGCTACGTTGGTTAAGGTCGCTGCGTCTTGCTCGTGTCATCTCCTCACACACCAGACCCTCCTCTGGCACCAACGTCTTAGCCACCCCTCCTTGCCACGCCTTCGTGGCATGCACTCACGTCTCCTTGTTTTTGGGCTTCCCAGATCCCTGCCCCTGCTCCCGAGGTCGCTTGCGCCGCCGAATCTTCCTTGCGTCGAGGGGCGGCAGCGCGCCGCTCCTCACTTCTCCTTGTTTCCTCCGACCACAACTCCTCTGCAGACCCTACACATGGACGTGTGGGGTCCAGCCCGAGTCCCTGGACAGGGCGGAGAGCACTACTTTTTGCTGGTTGTAGATGATTACACGCGCTACACCACGGTCTTCCCCTTGCAGAGCAAGGCGGAGGTCCGTAGTGTCCTGATCTGCTAGATCCGCGCTGTTCGTCTCCAGCTTCGCGCTCGGTTCCGTGAGGACCTCCCAGTCCTCCGGCTGCACTCTGACCGAGGTGGTGAGTTTTCCTCCGGCCTCCTCGAGGAATTATATGGTGCTAAGGGCATCTGCCAGACGTTCACGCTTCCGGCCTCTCCACAGCAGAATGGGATTTCGGGTCGGGGGTGCCATTTCGCTTGTTTGTGACCCTCCTGCGGGGAAGCTCTCTCCCCGCACTCTTCGCTGCGTCTTCCTTGGCTTCCCTACCGACGCCCCGGAAAGCAGTTTTACCACCCGGGTTCCCGTCGTGTTCTCTCTTCCCAGGAAGTCACCTTTGGCGAGGGTGTCTATTTCTACCATCTCCAACCCCACCGCAATTCCCCCGTGCCTCTCCCGCCTCTCGCACTGGTCTCCGACCCCCCCCCCCCCCCCCAAGTAGCCCCACTCCCCCCGCACGGCCCTGCTCCCTCAGGTGTGTCTCAAATTGACCCGTCCCTCTTGGTTGAGCCAGTTGAGGTCTCCTCTGACACCTCTGGCCCAGCAGAGGGGGGTGACCCGACTCCTGCTGCCACCGTGATCCCTCACCGCTCTGCGCGCTTGGGTTTCCCTCCTGGGTTTCCGCTTCGACCATCTTCACCGCCGCTGCAGCCTGTTGCTGTGGACTCTGGTGTTGCAGGAGGTGGTACCACTGGGGGTGCTAGTTTTGGGGGTGCTGAGTGTCCTCTGGGTATAGGAGGTACTGGAGGTACTGGTGCTGGTGGTCCTGGTATGAGTCGGCAGGAGGCTCTCTCGCCGGAGCGGCTTCGCCAGTGGGCTGTCCAGTGGGGTAGCCCTGGTGGTGGAGCTAGCCGTCTTCAAGTGGGAGGTGCTGGGACTACTGGAGCTGGAGGTGCTGGCATTGCTGGAGCTGGAGGTTCTGCTATTGGTGGTACTGGGGTTGCTAGTGCTGGTGGCACTGGTGCACGTCGGCAGGAAACTCTCTCGCCGGAGCGGCTTCGCGAGTGGGTAGTCCTGTGGGGCAGTCCTGGTGTTGGAGTTAGCCGTGCTCGTACTACTAGAGCTAGAGGTGCTGGGACTCCTGGTGCTGCTGCGGGTAGTCATGGCTCACGTCGCTAGGAGTCTCTCTCGCCGCAGCAGCTTCGCGAGTGGGCTGTCCGTTGGGGCAGTCCTGGTGGTGGTGCTGGACATGCTGGAGCTGCAGTTTCTGGAGGTGCTGGCCCTGGAGGTGCTAGTGCTGGTGTTCCAGGTACTGGAGGTGCAGGTGCTGCTGGAGGTACTAGAGGTACTGGCCCTGGAGGTGCTAGTACTGATGTTCCTGGAGTTGGCCGTACTGGAGGTACTAGTACTGGAGGCGGTGCTGACACTGAAGGTACTCTTGGAGGTTCTGGGGGTACTGGAGTTAGTGGTGCTAGTCGGTAGGAGTCGCTCTTGTCGCTGCAGCTTTGCGAGTGGGCTGTCCGTTGGGGCAGTCCCGGTGGGGGAGCTGGTGGTACTGGTTCTGGGGGTGCTGTTGCTACTGGAGCTGGAGGTTCTGGGGATGTGACTACTCAGCCGCAGCCATCTGCGCTTCGTCACATTCTCAGTCTCCCGCCTGCTGCTACTGAGTTCCTGGTTGCTGGTACTACTCCTCCGTTACTGTTCCCACCGACTGACCAGTCTCAGCAACAGCTACTGCCTGGCTCCCCGCTGCCTGCTCCTGCTTGTCACACTGAGGTGACTGCGTACCTGACTGTGCGTCGTGAGCCTGAGACTCGTGCTTCCACTCGTGAGCGTCGAGAGCCTGAAACTAGAGCTTTCGTCCCTGCTCGTGTTCGTCGTCCTCGTGCTCCGGCTGTACCGGGCACTCACAATATGACACTCCGTCTTTCCTCTGTTCCATAGCGTGTTGTCCTGCCGTCGCCTCCCGCGTCCTCTCTTCCGCTTGTTCCTGACTCTGAGTCAGACCTTGTCCGTTCTGCCAGTCCGACTGTCACTCGTCTCCTTGCCAAAGTTGTGACTGACCCTTCCTTTGAGTCTGCTGCTGCATCTGCCTTAGTTGCTGAGCTTGTTAACTTTGCCGCTTTGTGCCGCCTTGACTACGTTGCGAGTCTTGGTTTTGACTCTTCCTTGGCTGTGACGGACAGGCAGTTTGAGCTGGAGTGCCTCGCGGCCACTGCACCTCATCTCGCGTCCATGCTACTTTGCCCTGAGGGAGACCCGGATGCACTGGACATCCCGACCCCACGCACTTACGCAGAGGCGATCACAGGTCCGTACTCCTCTTAGTGGCAGATAGCCTTGGGCGCAGAGATGGCTTCCTGGAAGTCCACAATCACCTACGCCGATGAGGTTCCCCCACCTGGGGCGAAAATAGTCGATGGCATGTGGATTTTTGGGGTGAAGCAGCCGCCGGGTTCTCCGCCTTCCTTCAAGGCGCGTTATGTTGCACGAGGCTTCAGTCAGCGTGAGGGGTGGACTTCTTTCATACCTTCTCCCCACCTCGAAGATGACCACTCTTCGGATGCTACTGCACGTTGCAGCACAGCGCAACTATGAGCTGCACTCCCTCGAATTCTCGACAGCCTTCTTGCAGGGCAGCCTTCACGAGGCTATCTGGTTGCGCAATCCATGTAGCTTCACTGGGTCGTTTCCTGAGGGTACCCAGTGGAGTCTTCGGTGACCAGTCTACAGCCTATGACAGGCGCCCCGCGAGTGGCACGACACACTGAGGACTACACTTGCGGCTCTTGGGTTTGCTCCCTCGACTGCTGACCCTTCGCTGTTTCCGCGCACAGACACTTCTTTGCCGCCGTTCTACGTTCTCGTGTACGTTGACGACTTGGTTTTTGCTACTGCTGACACTGAGGCTCTGGCCTTCATGAAGGCGGAGCTGCAGGAGAGACACACTTGCACTGACTTGGGTGAGCTGCGGAGCTATCTTGGCTTGCATATCACCCGGGAGAGAGCACGGTGCACCATCACTTTGACTTAGTCACACATGGTGCAGCAGGTCCTTCAGCACTTCGACTTCACGTGGTCCTCACCACAGTCCATTCCTCTGTCTACCGGCCACTCGCTCTCAGCTCCACCTTCAAACGAGTCCGTAGAGCTGAGTGGTCTGTACCCAGAGCTTGTGGGTTGCCTCATGTACCTGATGAAGTGCACACGACTTGACATCGCGTACCCTCTCAGCCTCCTAGCTCGCTACGTGGCTCCCGGTAGGCACCAAGGTGCACTTGGAAGCTACGAAGAGGGTATTGTGTTACTTGTGCAGTACATCGGGCATGGGGCTCGTGCTTGGTGTTGGATGCACGTCATTCTGAGTGCATGTCATCCTAACGTCCTGCCGAGTGCTCGTGCTATTCATGCGTGCATTGTTTGCATGAGCATATATCATTGTGCATGGCTGTTGGATATTATCATATCTGTGTTTTTCTTCAAGTTAAAATGCTTGATCATGTAGGAGAAATCCAGAGCTTTCCAACGATACCAAGATCGCTTTATTCCGACGAAGATCGCCCAAGTTACAAGATTTCCAAGAATTTGGGTGATTACTTGGACATGACTATAAAGGGATCTTTGGTTGGGTGGTTAGGAAGCCAACTTTGACTTTTGGATTGGGATGGCTAGAAGTTTCTAGCATGGGTTGCAAATGTTGCAACACCTAGGCGAAATCCAACTAAATTGGATTTTGCATGTGACACCTCAAGGACCTCATGATGAGGGTTGCATCCTTGCTGCTAGGAAGGTTCCTACCATCCTTCCACAGCTCTTGGAGAACCCCTTCCCTCTCACGGTTCTCTTGGAGTCCCCAACTCCAATATTCTATGCCTTAATGCTTGTACTTCCTCCACCATTCTAGTCATGCGGCTGCTAATTGTTTTCAATTGGTTCTCACTCACTATACCATCTTTTTAAGTGATTCAAGTTGGAGATGGTAGCTAAGCCTATGGCACACGATTCTATTAAGCGGATTTGCGTTTACTTGAATAATGAGTTCGTCGTAAGTTCTCAAAGTGACGGATCCTGAACAACAAGTGATATCAGAGCGGGTAGTCGACTTTGAAACGACGAATCGTCGTAAATTCTAAACCAATGTTGACGAGTGAGACCATTTTCTAGTATCTTTTCTTGGGAACTTTCGACTGGTGGTCGAACCGCGTTCTAATTCGAAATTATTCAGTCCGAGACAGCGATTGTTGTGGAATCGAAATTTCTGACAGAATTCTCTCAGAACGATTTCTCAAGTTTCCACCGTTCACAAGGCCTCAATATGACTAGAATGGACTCTAGAGGTGCTAATGGCGAGATGGCTAGAGGTAGAGAAGGTGGAGAGCAAGGGGGAGTTGCTGGTGGTGGAGTGGGGACTCACCAACCAGCCAACCCTACGCTACCGTCATCTTCTACACCATCTCTTACCACCGTGGATCCTGTGAAGGCTTTCTCTATTGTGAAATTCATGGGGGAGGACTACGAGCATTGGAGCTTCCGCATGAGGCTGATGTACACCCAATACAAGCCATTGGACCTGGTGGAGGGGAAGGAGAAGATGCCGGAGGCCGCGGAACTGAAAAGAGCGTGGATGAAGCAATCGTTCGACGCGTACATGCTCATGGTGCAAGCGGTTGGCGGACGACAATCTTCACGAAGCTCCAAGGCGGCGGTGTGGTATACCCGGAGCTCGTGCATTGCGTGGAGACGTGGTCTGCCCTTGCGATCAACCTCAACTCTCAGCAGCCCGAGTAGAGCGTGGATTACATTCGCGCGCGCATCTTAGAGGAGGACTTGCGGCGGCGGAGTGTGGAGCGCTCGGGGGAGGGGGCTGGCTATGGAGTTGGAGGTGGAAAGAGTGGCTTCAAGAAGGAGTGGAAGGGCAAGAACAAGGACAAACCTAAGGAGGATGGCGGCGGGGGTCAAGGGGAGGTGTGCTTCTACTGCAAGAAGCGCGGACATCATTGGCGAAAGTGCTACCAACGACCTAAAGATTGGACCCCGCCTTCGTCGAGCAACCAGCATGGTGGCAAGAGGAGTGGGGGAGTCATGTGAGCTAGTGGAGAGGAGAAGGATGAGTAGAAAGGCGGCAAATCTGAGGAGCGGAAGGCCGGGTTCTTCTTCTTTGTGAACGAAGGCGCAACCGACCCCGCTATGGCTGCTAAGTTTCTCCTACACCCCCTCACCCATTGGGTGATTGACTCCGAGAGCTCTCGGCATATGACTCCTCGTGCGGACTTACTCGATGAGATTCAGCCCGCACCCACCTCTACGGTCACATCCGCGACGGCCGCCAAGGCCAAGGTCATGGGCATGGGGTGCGCCAAGTTCATGGGAGCAGATGGAGAGCTCGTAGGGCTGAAGAATGTGCTGTGGTGCCGGACTTGTGCGCAAACCTGATTTCTACCGGCCGTTTGGGAGATGCGGGTGTGAATACCGAGACGATTGGCTCGGAGCGCTATCGTGCTTACAACGACGAGCGCCTCATTTGGGACCTGCAGCGGAAAGGGGATGTCCACAAGCGGATGTGGCAGATCCCGGTCCTCCCTTGGCGGAAATCGGGCAGGGCGGCAGCCGCGGCATCTATGGACGAGAGCGTCACTGAGGAGGAGCAACAAGGTGTGCAAGGAGACGAGCTGATTGGAGGAAGTGCGGCGGCAAAGGCACCCTTGGAGGTGGTGCACATGGACCTGGTGGGTCCAATGAGGACAGAGGGGACTGGGGGAGTGTTGCACTTCCTCACCATGGTGGACGAATGTAGCCGTTTCACATGGGCATGTCCCTTGTCCAAGAACTGCGATGCTGCAGCGGCAATCAAGGAGGATTGGTTGCCGATGGTGGAGCGGCAAGCGATGCGGTTGGTGAAGGTGTTGAGGAGCGATCGTGGTGGAGAGTTCCTTGGAGCGGAATTCACCAAGTTTCTCAAGAGGAACGGCATCTGACACCAGCTGACCTGCCCAGGAACACCGCAGCAGAGCGGCATTGCTGAGCGTGCCAACCGGACCATTGGCGAGGCGGCTAAGACCTTGTTGGGGGCTGCTGGGATGCCCTATAAAGTTCTGGCCTGAAGCTGTTCGCCATGTCATCACGGTCAAGAACAAGGTTTTGACACATGCTGCGACAAGCACTGGGTGCCGTACGAGCGTTGGCTTGGGAAGAAGCCATCCATCGACATGTTGCGGGTGTGGGCCTGCATGGGGCTTGTGATGGTGCCTAAGGAGCAGAGGCAGAAGCTGGAAGTTGCTGCTGTGTGGGCTGTCCATCTTGGGATGGCTCATGACTCGAAGGGGTGGCTGATGTGGGACCCCAAGAGCAAGAAGACACTGGTCAGCCGTGACGTCAAGTTTGTGGAGGACGTCATGTAGAAGGACTGGCAGCAGCAACAGCAGCAGGTGCATATTGGCTTGCGTTTGCAGGAGGTTGAGCGGTTTGCAGTGGAGGAGGTTCAGCTGCACCTTGATGAACTCCATGGGTCAGAGCTGACCAGTGACCATAGTGGTGGTGGTGAGCAGCAAGTTTCTGGTTCTGCTGGAGAGGAGGGGTTGGAGGATGAGTCGGCACGTGTGGACTCACCATCTCAGCCCGAGCCTACTGCAACCGCCAAGGTCACTAAGAGGAGTGTGTAGAGAGGAGCTTCACCACATGGGCAGCAGACTGCAACTCGCGAGAAGAGAGTGGCAGCACCACCTCCAAGGCTAAAGTATAGTCATTTGGGAGCACCTAAGCAAGGGGCTATGGTAGTTCAGGTGGATGAGGGAGAGGATGAGGAGATGGCCTTCTGTTTCTTCACACTTTTGCCCGGGGAACCAGCCAAAGTGGAGGAGGCACTGAGTGGATTCCAGAAGGAGTGGAAGGCTGCCATGGATGCGGAGTTCAAGAGTCTCATTGAGAATGGGACTTGGGAGCTTGTT